CTGGTTTCCCTTCTTCGGTCGCAACGCATACTTCGGCATGTGATACTACCGCGGCCGTCAACAGGGAAAATCGAAGCGGCCTCATGCTGTGACAGCCGTTAGGTTTAATCATCATCATCATCGTACAGCGAAATACAGTGAAGCGAACTTCACTGACCGCTAACAAACTCACAATGCATACAAGTTAGTGGTAAAATTTAAGTTGGACAGGGGTTGGATCTATTTTGACGAAGGGAGAAGAAGATGAGCCACTATGGTTAACACACAGAGTACGCAATCGAACTCTGCATACACACCGTTTCAAGCATTCTGACCTGATAAGAAACGATAACAAGAACGCTGTCATGAACTGCTGCATTACCCTATTTCACATGGAACTTTATCAACTCTCTCTTCTTACATTGTAGCTTTTGTACTACGATTGTTAGAAGATTGAAGCCTATATACGGCCAGACTCCTCTTCTGCATTAGTCCGCATCTGTCGAATATACCAATTTAATATTCTAACAATGGAACGTCTCTTCCGCCCCGAACGCTTTGAAGCTGATCCTCATTCTCCTACAGCAGCCGAGCAATGGATCCATTCGCGGGACACCTTCGACAATTTTCTTTCAACGGTAGAGATCCCCGACGTCGATACAAGAAAACTCCTTATCAACTTCATCTCTCCGGCAATTTATTGATAAGTTATAGACTGTTCCACTTACGAGATGCTACGAAGCATAGAAGCTCTGTATATTAAACCGAAAACGAAGTTTTTGCGCGCCATGTATTATTAACAACTAAACAAGAAAATGGACAGTCAGTCGATCAGTTTATACAGAAACCACGCAGCCTCGCTGTTGACTGTAATTTTTGTCCGTTTCTGCTGAAAAGCACCGTGACGAGGCTATTCGCGACGCCTTCATCACAGGACTGATGTCTAATAGCATTCGTCAACGACTTTTGGAAAAGTACAATCTTGATCTTCAACATACATTCGAAGAAGCTCGCATGTTGGAACATGCTCAGCAACAGTCACAACTCTGTGATTCAACCACCTATGTCTCATACGGTGCTACATCCATGCAGTCAGATGTAGCAGCTCCGGATCCTGTACGAGATGCTTCGGAACCTCAAACCGACAGGGAGGAAGTAATCGGAGCGATGTCTACTCTCTGCTTTTTCTGTGGGCGACCAGGACACCCTCGCTCCAAATGTCCCGCCCGAGAAGCTATTTGTAATTCATGTGAGAAGGGACATTTCCAAGGGGTCTGTTGACCGAATCCTAAAGCCCAACGCACAATTTCAGCAAAAAATCCCAGAATCTCATCACTCATCGCTATTTCATCATCAACTGGGCTGTCTAAATATACAGTGCTAGTTCACATTAGTGGAGTACCGATGTACGCACTTATAGACACCGGTAGCTGTGAGACTTCAGTTGTTCAGTTGTTACAACCATTAACCCTACACTTTCGCGCACCGCTTTTGGTTGCTGTCTTTTGGTGCCCCATTTGGATAAAAGAGCGGAATGAAGAATGGAATGACGAGGCAAATTCAAGCGGAAGATGGGGAATTCATATAGAGTAGTGTTAGGAAAATAACGCGCCATCGTTTGCGACACCCAGCCATATCAGTCACCATAGCTAACCATCGGTGACCATCATCCCGAGGTCCCCAGCCAGGGAGCCCAACGGGACCTTAGCGACCTAGTCTCCTGGTTAGGAATTTCATACCCTCATGCCAGGTCTTAGTTTGATCATCCTTGATCTTTATCCAACCGCTAGCCACCTTGGAAAAAATCGCTCGCCGCGGCAACCTATCCGGTGACATGCGTAACACAACCGGAGGTATGTGCGTACAGTGACCTCAGTAGGTTAACGTACTTCTGGGGCATTCCTTTTCGAAGAAGGCAGCCCATCAGAGCTTCGCGGTCAACTGAGTCGAAGGCTCCTTTCAGGTCAAGGAATACTGCGATCGTTGGCCGACTGTGAGTATGACGCAGCTCAAGGATCCGACGCAACGTAAAAATCTGATCAATACATCCACGGCCAAGCCGGAATCCGGCTTGCTGTTCACGGATGCTGGTCTCTCTTGAAGGCGTCAGACATCGAAGTATAACCGAAGCTAGCACTTTGGTGACGATCAGGATCAAACTTATCCCGCGGTGGTTTTCGCAATTGTTGGGGGATCCCTTCTTGAAAATGGGAACCATCAGTGATTCGCCCCAAGATGAAGGAATGCGCTCTTGCATCCAAATGTTGCGCGGTTGCGTAGTAATAGAGGTTACGAGGTAATCACCTCTCATCTTGAAGACAGTGGGAGGGAGCTCATCAGGTCCTGCTACCTTTCCTCGCTTCAGAGATTGAATGCAAGACCGAACTTCTGCTTCCGTTGGAGGATTGCATGACACTGCCCACGGAGCTTCAGTCTGAGATGAAGCAGCCTGGTTAGCACTAGGCCAGCTGAACGATTCGTTGAAGTATTCTGCCCAGCGATCGAGTCGTTGATCCCTATTGTGAATAGCTTGTCCCCTCTTATCGCAAACTGTTTCACTAACTGGGGTTCGCCGA